CCCGCTCTGTGATGTCTGATGGGCTCCTGGAAGCCGGCTGCCTGTTCCCTGGCTCTGGGATTTGCCTGATGGGCATGGGGAAGCCAGCTGCCTTCTCCCCGACTCTGGGAAGGGTCTGCTGAGAACCATCTAGGCTGAGGCTGTAATGTTATCTGCTCTCTCCTATTATTTTTGACCTGATTTGCCCAAATTTTACACAAATTATTGACAAAAGCAAGGTGGTTTTCAGTTGAAACAGCTGCACTCAAATGAGAGCACCGTGCTTGAACCGTGTGCTGGGGCAAGTGAAGAGTCTCCTTGTTTCTCCGTCCCGTGGTATAAGCCTGGGGCTCTGATGCTCGTTCCTGTCCTCACTTGGCTTAGAAATCAGTCCTGAAAAATCATGTGGACTTCTTTGGAAGTAGTTATTTTATTTCCGTACAAGACAGGAGTTGAATTCTCCAGGATGCTGAGATTCCTTTTGGAAAAATGTTCCTTTTCAGATGATGAAACAGCCAGTGCCGTGGAGTTTTCTCTTTGACCTAAGCACAATGAGAACAATTTGAAGTCTGCGGTTGATCGACATTTATGCCTCCTTAGTGAAAAGGCAAAGGTAGATGCCCCTACAGACAAGAAACGAGGAACTTCGGCCTCATGGAAGCTAAGCGTCTGGATGCCGAAGGCTTGAGTTGCAGGGTGTTGGTCTTTCCTGGGTCCCAAGCTGGTGGCAGATGGCCCACACCCCATGGCTGCCACACAAACACTGTGATGAGCTCGCTGTATGTCCCGCTGCTCGTGCCATCCTACACCACCCCCACCTCTGAGCGTCAGGAAGTGCACACAGCTGAACAATTCCCCCTGTAAGACTTATCCCCATGCAGGACCCCGGGAGTGAACGGGAGGAGAATGTTGCATCCATCCTTCTCTTTGGAGAGAGCACTAAACAAGGTGCCACCTCAACCCGGCAGGAGGGAGTCAGACAGGACCCCGGGAGTGAAGTGGAGAACAGTGTGTCCATCCTTCTCTTTGGAGACAGCACTAAACAGGGCGCCACCTCAGCCTGGCGGGAGGGAGCCAGACAGGAACCGGACACTACCCGAGGTCAGTATCCTCCGGCTGGCCCAGCAGAGTGAGAGAAATAAGAAGAAAGATGTGGGCACTGAATATTTAGGACCCTAATTTATCCAAGCAGAATACTTTATTCTAGATCTTCATGCCTGTATTGGAATTTAAAAGCAGGGTAAAGTTCGCCTAAGTTGAATTTCAGGCATGTGCAGAGCCATTGACTTGCAGCTGTCCATGGAGGGCCACAGGCAGGCTGGGACCATGAGCCACAGGCCCTGCACCACCTCAGCTCTGGCCACATCAGACCCTGCGCATGGATTCAGCTGTCCCAAGAGGAACTCTGGTTTCTCCTCCTGGTGTGTTATCTGTTCGTTTCGCTTAGAAAAGAGGCAGCATTTTCGTGGGGTGGGGACAGGCCATCCCAGGTTCTCCGGTCAAATGCCACTTTATATCACGACATAAAACTCTCCACCTTTGAGACATCAAGTAAACACTGCCCTTTCTGAGAATCAAGCAAGTAATTCCTTCTTCTACCATACGCTGTATCAAACTGATAAAAAAATTCATAGCTGCAGACTGAATATACATTTTATGATTTCTTAGTTCTCATGTAAGCCAGACAGGCACACAAAGAAGTGAAAACAAGGATCATTTCCTTCACCCATCCATCCACGAAGCAATAAGCATTTTAATGTGACCCTATGCTAAGAATTGTCCAAAAGTCCAAAGTTCAGTGGATTCAACTTATATATCATCTTGACTAACAGAGATTAAGAAAAGTTAAATACAAAAATGGAAATTCAAAAGCATTGAACATGGACTGTTCAGCTCTTTCTTCAAGTTGGAAATTATCCATGAAAGCTCACCAGGAGAAAAGTCAAGCATTTGGAAGTGGACTGCTATCTCTACTCTCAAACGATGTGCCAGACCTGTTTGGGTTTAGGAGGAAGACCAGGGTATACTAATGGGGACACAGGTTTTTGTCCCAGTCCAATCGTTAAGGTGAGTCAACTGGGACAAATGACCTAGGATGTCTGAATCTCAGCTTTCTTATCTTTCTGAAAGTGATAATTGTTCCTCTCTGCTTTGTAGAGTCACAAAGATCAAATAAAGTAAAGCTTAAAGCTGGATAACCTATAATAGTTTTGGAATTCTCAAGTCCTATGTGAGTTTAAGTATCAGTTATGATGATATTTGGAGTCAGGTGACGGTTCTGAGCACTCTATCGAGAAGTGTCTGAAGGGCCGCCCCTGAGGGCAATTGTGGAGACAGAGGCCTGGGCACCGATGCTGAAGGCCGCCCCTGGGAGGCACTGTGGAGGCAGAGGCCTGGGCAGGGATGCTGAAGGCAGCCCCTGAGGGCCATTGTGGAGGCAGAGGCCTGGGCATGGATGCTGGCAGTGAGGGAAGAGTGCCCCCTCCTTCTGAAGGAAGCCCTCCCTGACCACATCGATCACATTGCCAGAGACTCCACACAGCCTCCACACTGCAGACAATCATATCCTCAGAATAGGATCACCAAATCATGGCTCTTAGAAATTACAGGAAAACATGAAGACTTGTAAATGTGATCTTTGTTGTGCAAATCTGGTTACATTATCTATTCAAATGTTGCCGGCAACACTCAAAGAGATATTTCCCCTCTTTCTCTGAAGCAGGGAAAACTACTTTTCTGAACAAATTTTTACAAGGACTTAATTTCACGCTTAGCAATGCCTTGTCTTCATTAAGGTTCTTTAGGCCATTTGACAGGATGCTAAAGTGTCTTAATGAAGCCGCAGGCTCCGGCTCAAAGCAGCCACATTTACAGTCTCAGCTGTGAGAAGTGCCTTCAGTGCAGACCTGCATGGGCCTCCGCAGACAATTCCCAGGCAGTGCTGCGGGGCTCTGGGACTTGGGAGGGGCCCAAGCATGCTTCTATCTGGAATTTTCCGCATTGTAAAAGCTCGGTTTCTTCAAATCACCCTCACCTAGAGAAAATGCTGACCCAGGGAAGGGGTTTCCTTCTGATTTCTGTGTTTCATATCCCTCCCATGTGCCACACGGCGCTAATTGATAAATAAATTCCCTGTGCACTGCCCGACAGATGCTACGGGCAGAAACACGAAAAGCGACTAGCACAGACCAAATATAAAGAGGACAAGGTCTGCTCAGCAAAGTGGTGCTTCAGGTGAGTCCTTTCATTAAAAAATTTAAAAAGGGGCAGGTGCGGTGGCTCACGCCTGTAATCCCAGCACTTTGGGAGGCCAAGGCAGGTGAATCACTTGAGGTCAACAGTTTGAGATCAGCCTGGCAATATGGTGAAACCCCATCTCTACTAAAAATACAAAAAATTATCTGGGTGTGGTGGCAAATGCCTTCCAGCTACTCCAGAGGCTGAGGCAGGAGAATCACTTGAACCTGGGAGGCGGAGGTTGCAGTGAGCCAAGATCACACCACTGCACTCCAGCCTGGGGACAGAGTGAGACTCCGTCTCAAAGAAAAAAAAAAAAAAATCAGGGTTTACTCTGCGTATTCAGTGTCTACTCCCAAGAATTCAGGAATGAGAAAGTTCCATTAGAATCACATTAAAATTAGGAACAACACCTACTGGCTCAGGGATCGCCTGCTCAGGGGATACAGCCCACGGGCTCCGTCTCAGCTCTCATTAAAGGGTCTCCATCTGCTATGCACCTCCAGGACTTAGCAGAGTGGAGAGGGGCATCCCCAACCCTGGCAGGGCCTGGTTCTTGGCCATTCACAGCTTGAAGAGGCAGCTTTGCTGCTCCCTGAAGCTGCTGGCTCAGGGGCCCTGTTGCCTGGGCCACCAGCCACACTCAGAAACCCCTGGCAATTACCGATGCTTCCCAGGCTGGCCCTTGTTCTGATCCTGCAACCTGGCTGTGGACCCTTCCTCTAGTGTTCCCCAGAGGTCCATATTCCCAGCGCTTCCTAAGATAAATGCTTTAGCTTCTATGCACGTCAACACACCCACGTCAAATAGTGGGGTGTGTCCCCTGCACGTAACCCTGACACAATCTCACTGTAACAAATGTCCTTAAATTCTATTTGTCTTTTATTAAAACTAACACTTTTATCTTAGCAAATAAGACTGTCCACAAGGTCCTAAAATTCCACTCTCTGCTTGCTCTAATCCACGGTTTCACAATCTGTGTGGCAGGAAGGAGAGCAGCCCCTGGGGGTGACGCGCAGCCAATATTTTAGTTTGTAAATTAGATTTGTTGCCAAACACACCATGCTCAAGATCGAAAGAGTCTCAGAAAGGCTTTACTTTTTAGATTAATTAACCCATGTATGCGGTTTTAAAGGACTGACGGTATCTTTTACCAGATTTAGGGAGGAAGACCACAGCTGAGGACACAATTTCTTCTTCATAAATAAGACAAGCATATGGTTCAATTGATTTGATACCAGAACATTAATAATAATAAGTTAGCTCCTTTTTTTTTTCTTTTTTTTTTTTTTTGAGACAGAGTCTTGCTGTTGCTGCCTGGCCTGGAGTGCAGTGGCGCTATCTTGGCTCACTGCAACCTCCGCCGCATGGGTTCCAGCCAATTCTCCTACCTCAGGCGCCTGCCAACACGCCCGGCTAATTTTTGTATTTTTAGTAGAGACGGGGTTCCGCCATGTTGGCCAGGATGATCTTGAAATCCTGACCTCAGGTGATCCACCCGCCTCGGCCTCCTAAAGTGCTGGGATTGTATGGTAGAAATATTTCATTATATTTTGGATATTTATTATCAAATATTTACTCAACACCCACTTTCTCCTAGGTTGGGATCTATAAATACAACCAGAGGCTAAATCAGGCCTGTGGACTTTCCTGTGTGATTCTCAGTTAAGAACGTTTGATATTAGTAATCTTTGATGTACGTATTCATCTTTTTTCATGCTGCTGATAAAGCCATACCCACGACTGGGTAATCTATAAATATAAAAGAGGTTTAATAGACTCACAGATCCACGTGGCTTGAGAGGCCTCACAATTACGGTGGAAGGTGAAGGCGGAACCCGTCTTCCGTGGTGGCAGCAAGAGAGAATGAAAGCCAAGTGAAGCTGGAAACCGCTTATAAAACCATCAGATCTCGCGAGACTTATTCACTAGCATGAGAGGTGGAAGCCCCTCACAAAACCATCAGATCTCGTGAGATTTATTCACCATCACGAGAACAGTATCGGGGAAACCGCCCCGTGATTCATCTGTCTACCACAGGGTCCCTCCCAAAACACGCGGGAATTACGGGTGACGAGATGAGATTTGGGTGGGGACATAGCCAAGCCCTATCAATGCATAATCCATTGCTATGCCACACTGAGGCTTAGAACAGCACCCATTTATTACCTCACAGTTTCTGGGGGTCAGGAGTCCAGGCCTGGCTCAGCCGGGTCCTCTGCTCATGGTCGTAGAGGCCCTTGAGGGGTCCATGGGGCTGATTTCATCAGCAGGCTCCACAGGGAAGGGCCGGCTTCCCGAGGCCTGGCTGCTCGCAGAGCCCACTCCCTCCGTGCTACACAGCTCGGCCTCAGTGCTGGCCGCTTGCTGTCCCCGCTGGCCCTGAGCCGTCAGTCCTGCCCACAGCCCCACAGCGGAGCCACATCGCAGCCGCGACGTCTTCACAGCCGGCAGGACCGAGTGGGCTTCAGGAGACCCGCATCCCTGCCGCCGTCACCCTGGCATCTTCTCTGAGTCAGGCGAGAGTCACAGGAGCCACCCCGATCAGGGAGAGGATTCTGCAGGGGCACGAGCTCTGGGAGGTCGGGGTCATTAGGGGTTGCCTTGGAGTCTCTGAGCCACAGAATTTTACTTTTTTTTGTTTTTTGTTTTTTTTTTTTTTTGAGACGGAGTCTCCCTCTGTCGCCCGGGCTAGAGTGCTGTGGCCGGATTTCGGCTCACTGCAAGCTCCGCCTCCCGGGTTCCCGCCATTCTCCTGCCTCAGCCTCCCGAGTAGCTGGGACTACAGGCGCCGCCACCACACCCGGCTGATTTTTTGTATTTTTTTAGTAGAGACGGGGTTTCACTGTGTTCGCCAGGATGGTCTCGATCTCCCGACCTCGTGATCCGCCCGTCTCGGCCTCCCAAAGTGCTGGGATTACAGGCTTGAGCCACCGCGCCCGGCCGGAATTTTACATTTTTAAACGGCAGTGAAAGCGGCATTTAAAATTAAAGAGAATTATATGTGACAGAGACCCTGCACGTAAACGCCCCTCGGACTTCAGGGAGAAACCTGTACTGTTGTCTGTGAAAAGGAACACAGGTTCACTAGCGAAAAGGTGTCCTTTTATTCCTAGAAAACATTGTTCCTTTCACAGCCTCCTAGTTATCAGAGTGGACTTTGAGGGTGAGGTCCCTTTAAGAACTGATTCCCACTGTCTCCCTTACCCAGAGTGAAGAGAACAGGTGTGAAGAGAGTATAAGAGAGTATGAAGAAGCAAGGTGTGCGGGCAGGACTCACGCCACCCTGTGCGAACCAGGACCCAGCAGAATCTGGAGGACAGAACAAGAACCCCGCCAGCTCAGGCCAAACTCCTGCTTCACAGGGCAGGAGGCGGCCTCATGAGGCCTTGTGGCAGCGCAGACCCCAAGAGGCCAAGAGATGGAGCTCTCCAGTGTCCACACTTGCAGCTGAGGGCAGGGCTGCCTGTGTGAAACTTGAGCTCCTCTCCTGCCTCCCTCGGACTCTGAGCTCTCCTCCTGCTGGGCTTGATTTGGATGCAGATACAGGGTACAACCCCGTCCCCAGATACCACAGCACATCATGCCACCCACACACCCACGCCCTTCCATAGTCAGTGAAGGGGTGGCTTGCCCCTCCACACCTGTGGGCGTTTCTCGTTAGGTGGAATGAGAGACTTGAGAAAAGAAATCAGACACAGAGACAAAGTATAGAGAAATAAAAAGGGGGCCCAGGGGACCGGCGCCGGCACCTGTCTCTGAGTTCCCTCAGTATTTATTGATCATTATCTTTACCATCTTAGAAAAAGGGAAGTGGCAGGATAATAGGATCATCATAGGGAGAAGGTCAGCAGTAAGACATAGGAATAAAGATCTCTGTGACATGAATAAGTTTAAGGAAATGTGCTGTGCCTTGATGTGCATATGCAAACATCTCCATAAACCTTTTTAGTGCATAAAGAGCAGCGTTGCCCTAGCACGGCCCACCTTCAGCCCTAAGGCGATTTTCTCCTTTCTCAGTAAACAGAACATACAATCGGGTTTTACACCAAGATGTTCCATTGCCCAGGGACGGGCAGGAGACATGCTTTTCTCTATCTCAACTGCCAAGAGGCCTTCTTTCCTCTATACTAGTCCTCCTCAGCACAGACCCTTCACGGGTGTCAGGCTGGGGGACCATCAGGTCTTTTCCTTCCCACGAGGCCATATTTCAGACTATCACATGGGGAGAAACCTTAGACAATACCTAGCTTTCCTAGGCAGAGGTCCCTGCAACCTTTGGCAGTGTCCCTGGATACTTGAGATTAAGAGAATGGTGATGACTTTTCACAAGCATACTGCCTTCAGGCACTTGTTTAACAAAGCACACCCTGCACAACCCAAAATCCGTTAAACCTTGAGTCACCACAGCACATGTCTCTTGCAAAGACAAGGTTGGGGGTAGGGTCACAGATTAACAGCATCTCAAATACAAAACAAAATGGAGTCTCTTATGTCTACTTCTTTCTATATAGACACAGTAACAGTGTGATCTCTGTTTCTTTTCCCCACATTAACCCCCCTGAAATTGCAAACCACTGAAATTTACTTCCTTCTGGAAACTTCCCCCACTTTCCCAAAGCCTGGGTGCCAGGAGTTTCCTAAGATACCCTGCAGGTCCTTGGCTTTTCCTACGTGTGGCATGGTTGTGTGATGTGTCTTTATTTCTATTTCTCTCTCTCTCTCTCCGTTTCTAGTTAAAAAACACCAGTAAAGGGCAGGGCTCTGCCTGCAATGTTTATTGCTGTGTCTGCAATTTCTAGCACAGTCACATAGAAAAAGTAAATATATCCATTTGTGAATGTGTGTATATGTGCACGTGTGCCTGTGTTCACATACATGTACATGTGGGTACCTGTGTGCATATGTGTGCACATGTGCATGTGCAGATGTGTGTGTTGTGTGTGCATGCACATGTCAATATGCATATGTGTGAGCACGTGTGTCCATATGTACATGCATGCATGGGTATATTGCTGTGGTGGTTAGCATGTGTTCCTATGTGTGTGCATGTGTGAGCACATGCCTGTGTATGTACATATGCCTGTGTGTACCTGTGTGCATATGTGTGCTCATGTGTACACTGAATCAACCAAATGCTCTTTGGATTGAACAACAGGGCCTCACAGAGTTGCATCTGTTTTGTCTGAAATACCTGATCTGCTCCTTGGTCCCAAGCCCCAGATGGGCTAAGTCCAAGGGACAATAGCTGTGGTGATTAATAGGAGCCGTCGGCCCGACTGGATTGTGGAGGCCAGGTGGTTGGCCATGTGTTGCTTTTGAGTGTATCTGTGAGGTGATTCCAGAAGAAACTGGCTGAAATTCAGTGGTCTGAGACAGGAAGACCAGCCCTCCATGTGTGTGGCACCTGGGGGCCCAGTTGGACAAAACAGAGAGAAGAAGAAGAATTTGCGCTCTCTCTCTCTCTCTCTCTCTCTCTCTCTCTCTGCGCTCTCTCTCTCCTTCCAGGGCAAGGCCTCCTTCTTCCTCTTGTCCTTAGACATCAGACTCCAGGTTCTTCAGCTTTTGGACTCTCTAAGGCTCTCTGGCTTTGGCCTCAGACTGGGGGCTGTACTGTCCATTTCCCCAGTTCTGAAACTTCCAGACTTGGACTGAGCCAGGCTGCTGGCTCTCCTGCTTCTCCAGCTCCTCCAGTTCTTCAGTTCCCCTGGTCCTGCTGTGTCTCTGGTCCTGCTGTGTCTCTGGTTCTGCTGCACCTCTGGTTCTGCTGTGTCTCTGGTCCTGCTGTGTCTCTGGTTCTGCTGTGTCTCTGGTCCTGCTGTGTCTCTGGTCCTGCTGTGTCTCTGGTTATGCTGTGTCTCTGGCCCTGCTGTGTCTCTGGTTCTCTAGCTCCTCTGGTTCTCCAGCATCTCAGGTTCTCCATTTTCTCTGGTTCTCCAGCATCTCTGGTTCTGCTGCTTGCAACAGCCTATCCTGGAACTTCTCTGGCCCTGTGACTCTGTGAGCTGATTGCCCCTCATCAATCCCTTTCATGCAATTGGTTCTGTCTGTCTGGAGAACTCTGACTAACACTTGTGCCTTCTGTGGAAGGAGGAAATTCCTGGGGGAGGCTTTTCTCTTATTCACACTGAGATTTCCAATCATCTAGTCAGAGCCCTGGTGAAGGACCACCCAGAATTCTGGAAAAATCTCCCTATAACCCCAACTCCCTGAAATATATATATATATATATGGGGTGGGGATGTTTTAAACACACACACACACACACACACCCCCCCCACACACATATATATGGCCTATTTTCCAATGACTAAAACTTCATTCACTATGCACAACAATTCTATGGCTTTCAATTCTGCAGCAAGACTCAGGTGTACTCACTGGTTTCAATCAGCAGAGAGGGTGAACAGCAGAAGCTTTCGTGAGAAGAGCAAAGTGACAGGGTCAAGACGCAGCCAAAGGCAAAATTAGCGGTGACCCCACAAAATGTCAATAGGAAGACAAACGAAGAACACGGAAAAACTCCTCCCAGGAAGTGATTCTTCCCTGAGACTTGGTGCCTAGTGATCCTTGGGACGGATCTACCCGGAGTCACAAAGAAAGGAAATGTTCCTGAAATTCACGTACAATAATAAGACTATGTTTTAGCTTCTGTGGTGGGGTTCATCCAATTCTGCCTGCCGTTCTGGTCCTTTTCAAAATTCATCTGGTAATGTAATGCTCAGAGTTCTTAGAGTAAAAGACCCCTAGATTAAGGTAGCATTGATTGAGAAACACCAATTTGGCAAATAAACATCGTTCATGTGTCATAGCAGCTATTATCTAAGGGAAAACAAATTATAACAAGAAACAAACGAACGAAATTCATGATAAATAAAACTTTGCTATTTTAGCTTTACCGCAGCAACGTAGAAGTCACAGCAGGAAAGAGATATTGGAAATTTCTCCCTGGTGCCTACAATTGATATTTTGTATATAAGCCTCTTGGGAGCTATATTTTTGGTTCACAAGTTACCTCAAATGAGTAGCAAATAAG